CAATTTGGCACGGCTGTGCATGACTCTGCCCACACAGCCGCGTCATCCGTTCACAGATCCTTTGACAGAATCTGTGAATGGAAAAACGACAAGTCCTGTCAGCCACCGCAGCAGAAGGACTTCAATTGTTAATACAATACAGGTGCAGTGATGTCACCGCACTTGTAGTCCATTGACACTTCCTCCTGTAACTGAAAGCCCATTCCTCGGTATGGACAGGGATGGGAGGGAGAGTCTGCGGGAGCCAAAGCAGTGTCCCCCTTGATCTACTGATCAGAGTTGCAATGCTTTACTGGCTCCAAAGCAAAAAAAAATAATAAATGCACATTTTTTTGATGAATATGTTTACATTTATTATTATTATTCTTTATTTATTTATTACAGGTATTTATATAGCGCCGACAATTTACGCAGCACTTTACATAGTTGCACATTCACATCAGTCCCTGCCCTCAAGGAGCTTACAATCTAAGGTTCCTATCTCACATGCATACATAGAGGGCCAACTGAAAGAGGAGCCAATTAACCTACCTGCATTATTTATTTATTTTTAAAGGGGGAACTTTATCCGTGACAATCTATATTCTCTACTTCAAATACATTAGTATACACACACAAAACACACACACTGAGCATTTGACAGTAAATTGACTGTAACTGTATGTTAATATATACAGAAATGACATAAATGGTATAATCTTGCCATTATATTTTCCCAAATACCAAAAAATGTGTTTCTCATGGCTTTTCTCCAAAAACTAATACCCGTAACAGAAAGATGTTTAAACGTACCTTGAGAAATAATACTTGTAATACGATCTCAGAGGAGAAAAACTGAAAAATGCAATTAAGTATTTGGCTGATGAGCTGTGAAAATATGATGTTTGCAGAATCTGAAACTACCGTTCATAAGCCACTGACATTTCTATACTGTAACAGGTCATCTACATTCAAGTGTAAAATGAAGGAAGTGAATTTAGTGAAGTTTATTTAATTTTTTCTCCTCCTTGTTAGCCTGACCTCCAGCGATGACAATGTGTGCAATAATAACGCTCTGCTATTAATAGGACAGACGGATTACATGTTAAGGCTAAGTTACGACGGTTGTTGTGTTAAACTTTCCATTGTGCTGCTAATGTCAGCTATGTGGTTTTATCGTGTACTGACCTTTATATAAAAAATTCTCCAGCCAGAGCTTTAGGCCCAGAGCAGGGCAGTTGCATTGCCAGGGGTTGGACCGTGCAAGCAAAACTTTCAGATTGGTGAAGGACTCCAGGAGCATGCGGTCAACCTTTTGTAGTTGGTTATTCTTTGCTCCTAAGAAGGTCAAGTTCCGAGTGTTATTTCCTAAAGATTCTGGTAAAGTACTGAGGTTATTATATGACAAATCCAGTTCCCTTAGAGCCATAAGAGGTGTGAACACTTGGCCTTCAAGTTGATATATGAGGTTGTTGGTAAGGTTCAAGACTTGCAGCGAGCGAAGGAAGTGGAAGGCATATGGTGGCACTCTTGAGATAGAGTTATTAGACAAGTCTAAAATCCTCAGGCTTGCAAGATATGTGAAAGATGTGTGGTTTATAACACGTATTTGGTTCCCCTGCAAATTGAGTGTTTGTGTTTGTGATGGCAATTGGCTTGGTATTTCAAGAAGTCCTCTGTAGCTACAGTCAACCATCCTTGAAGAGGTTTGGCATGTGCAGATGTCAGGGCACCCCGTTGCCATATGGAACACCAGAATGGCACAAGATGCTAAGAACAGTCCACCTACAGAAAAAGACAGGATAGGATCAGACTTGGCTATGCATAAGTGTATATCTGGGCAAAAAAACAAATTTTCAGTACATCTCTGCAATACATGCACATTTCTCCATGTAGTGGTTCCCCTGCAAATAGAGAATTTGTGTTTGTGACGGCAAGGGACTTGGTACTTCAAGAAATCCTCTTTAGCTATAACCATCCTTGAAGAAGTCTGGCATGTGTGATGTCAGGGCCCCCCAATGCCATATAGAACACCAGAATGACACAAGCAGCTAATAGCAGTCCACCTACAGAAAATTATTGGATCAGACTTGGTTATGCATAAGTGTATAGCTGGGGAAAAAAGCATTTTCAGTGCATATCTGAAATACATGCACAATTGCCCATGTTGTATCCCTTTAAAAACACTGCAAATACAGAAAGATACATGTTTATCTGCCAGTTAATAAGTGATCTCCTGCTTGAGCTGATAACCCAGTGTCTCTACTGCACCGAAAACTCAACCAGTGTTGTCAGCCCTGCCCATTACTCCTTTGCTGTACTACAGAACACCCGATCTTCATATCCGTAACATAAGGGTGGGTTCTCTTGTTCGGCATAACAGAACTTGGCAAGGCTGACAAAACTTCTTTTGGATTCCAGTGCAGCAGAGTCACTGTGTGAGTGTTGTCAACTCAAACTAAAAGGTAGGCGCTCACTGGATTTCTCAGATCAATAAACTTGCAGTGTTTTTAAATAGAGAAAACATGGGGAGAATGCACGTGCTGCAGAGATGTCCTTGTACTTCACTTTAATGAGTAGATGGGCATTCGTATAACACATGGGATGTTACTCAGGTTTGACCTATTTTAAATTCGTAATGGTTTGAAGCACACATGATAGTAATCATTGCTAGATAACTGTTGGAATTTAGGTTTTTTTTTCTGCCAGCAAGCAATCTTTCCCAAAGATAAAAGGCAACTACTGTACTTTGCATTATTTAACATAGCAGATGTATGTGGGTCAATCATGGGTCGTATGGGCCAGAGTGGTGGGAAGGCTGGGGCCTAGGTAGGTGGAATTCTGGGAGGTGACAGGTGTTACTTTGCATTGTATTTCTACCGTATGTCAATCTTGAAGGAAAAAAAGTAGAGATGAACTATTTATCATTATTGCATGTAGAATGCACTTATGTTTGTTTATGTGAGACATTCACACAAGTGCATGCAGACACAAGACTATGGGGTTGATTTACTAACCTTTTAAACACACCACGAACGTGTATACACCTCTGTAGTGTGTTCCCTCCCAGCATGATCTATGGGAGGAATCGAAACACCTTTGTAGTGTGTACACACCCAGCAGGTGTGTTGTGCAAAGCCCTGCAATGAATTGCAGGGTAATGTGGTGTAAATTAGCTCTATGTTATGTTGCTTGCGTTGATGAATCCAGGAATGTAAATGCATGAGCTAACCATTTTTGTCTAAACTGTGAAGCAGCATTATATATGCATCATGTGCATGATTTTTCCATATATGGCATTAGTGGAAATATGCTTTTAGAGACTTTTTGGTTGATAAATACGTTTTGCTGTGTGAAAATCACACACACCTGGTGTGTGTGTGTGTTTAGGTTAGTAAATCACCCCCTATGTGTTGGTAGAGGATGATATAATAACATTGAGGTAAGAGGCATGTGATTCAGTTCCAGTCTTGATATTTTTAGGATTGAGTTCATAAGGGAGTATAGAATGTTCAATTAGCTTAGTGGATCTGGTGCAGTTATGTTCACATTGAATACCAAATCATCTTACATTCATTATTTAAACAAACATATTTTTATTTTTCTTACAGGTCTTGTTTTTCTACTTCCTGGTGTTCTTGGGCATTAGTGATGCAGCCTGTGCCCAAGCATTACATCCTGGGAAGGTTACATCAGCAGTACATTGCTGGGAAATTTCATCTGTAATTTCACAAGATCTCAGGGAAAGGCATGCTCCTCCCCTGAGATGATGTACATGGCCACATGTCACAGTCACATGTGCCAGAGTTCCAGGAAGTAAAGGGAGATATAGTAATCTGCCCTTAGTAAAAAACAAATGGCCACTGTGAGAAGAATGTGGAGGAAAATTAAAAATAGAGTATGCAAAGTATAAAAAGCCAAGTATAGATTGCCATTACTAAACATTTACTAAGGTATCTTTGTTGAGATTTCAAAGATATGGGTAAAGTTCCTCTTTAACCTCTTGCCATCCGCCCGTAGTAGAAAAACGGACGGACGGCACTGCAGCATCTGCGGGTTGCGGTCTCCAGACGGTGGGTAATTTTTCCTTAATATACTAAAAAAAATAAAACCCCCAGTGGTGAATAAATACCACCAAAAGAAAGCTCTATCTGTCCCCAAAAAAGGGTATAAAATTCATTTCAGTACAGCGCTGCATGACGGAATAAATGTCAGTTAAAGTACCGCAGCGCTGAATACTGAAAAATGGCCTGGATGGGAAGGGGGTTTAACACCGTGGATGTCAACTGGTTAAGTTTTCTTTTTTTTCAGGCTAAGAGCAAAATTTGACTGCCAGGATCTACACTGTTATCAATTTTCACAGCTATTTTCAGTGAACTACAGATCAGCTCTTTCTTGCGTGAGGAAGATAAGAAGAGGTGGATTCTATTGTAGTCCTATTCTAGGGTGACAATGCTGCTCCTCCATAGAGGAGCAGTGAGTGAGTGTTGTTACCCTAGGACAAGAAGTGTGTTACTGGCAGGAGCGCTTGCTAAAAAATAAAGGGGAAAAAAGCCTAAAAAAAAGGAAACTAAAGCAGCTACCACATCAAAGCACTGATAAGCTTCAATACATAACATTTTTGTTTTGGGGTTTACATTTTATTTAAGAAACTCTATAATCACTCAAAAATGCAATTAACATTTGTGTGAGATCTTTCCAAGGCTTTAGTATATCATGTAATTACAAAAGAGTTTTCTTTGCAGTTTCAATTTTTTTTGCTTTCTTTATAAACAAAATCTATTTAATCCTAATATGTTTTTAATTAACTCCTTCCTCCTTCTTCTCTGTTTAGCTATTTTTTAAACGTTTTTTTTAAATTACCTTAATATTTGTATGCTTTGTTTTACATTTTTCATTAAATTTTTAATTTCACTGCTTTTATAGCTGTGTTTAAAAATAACACAAAACTAATTCACGTGTAAATAACTGCCCTGTGTGTTGTGCCAGAGTCATCATTTTAGAGATAAATGGAACAAGTAGCAGAATAAAATAAATTTTTCTTTGTGAACATGGTGGCAGCGATTGTTTTAAGAGTACAAAAGAGGAAAATAAAAGGAAGACAATACTGTCAAAAGAAAACCCTGTTTATCGCCAAGGAAAGCAATATATGTATCGTTTTTATTTTATAGTAATGACAAAATTATTGGAAAATGAATAAGCCCGTAGTGGAATTGTTCTGGTGCATACAAGGGAAACATCTAGATAGTGGGGGTAGGATATTCTGGCAATGGTGTACTAGAAGCACCCCCAAAGACATTTCTCTTCCCAATAAAATTAGATTCATAACTAAAAAGGGTTGAAGTCAGCTCATATTGAACGGAAACTTAGTAAAAAAAATCTTTACACCATCAACACATTTCGAATTGATCACATCATCAGGAAAGGCGTATCAAAGCGCTAACAAAAAACATATGCATAAAATTAATTGAGAGTGTATTTTTAATGAACTTAGGGCGAGGGTAATATCGCCTGATTAAAAAGTGTGGAAGGCGGAAAATAACTATGATGGCTTAGACAGTTTCTTCATTGAAGTGTATCTAAACCCCAAAACAAACAAATTTTACATTACAGCTTATAAGTCCTTAGATGTGGTAGCTGCTTTAGTTTCCTTTTTTTAGGCTTTTTTCCCTTTATTTTTTACCTAGTGCTCCTGCCAGTAACACACGTCTTGTCCTAGGGTAACAACACTCACCGCTCCTCTATAGAGGAGCAGCATTGTCACCCTAGGACACGACCACAATAGCATCCCCCACTTCTCATCTTCCTGACACAAGAAAGAGTTGTTCTCAATGGTTGTAGATCTGGGCATAATGATGTAATGATAATATATTACATATTACATAATGATGTAATGATATTCTAATGAAGAATTAAATAAATTTCCTGTGAATAATTTTTGATGGATAAATAAAAAAAATACATATGGATAAAAACATAAATAACTTATGAGGATCATGTCCATAAAGCATATATTGGGTAAACACAACTTTCTTGTTTGAGTGATGGACCTAGGGGCAAATTTATATTATGTACTCAAGAATTTGTTATCTATTGTTTAGTCTATTTTAAGTTTTTAAAAAATGCAACATAGAGATCTACTGTATATGTAATAATATAAAATGTTCACAGTACATCAATAGAATAAAAAAACATTTTTCTATGTGATTAGTTGGTAAAAAAAAAAAAAACCCTACTAGTCTTAAAGTGGTTGAGGACCTCCGGTATTCTCAGATGCCTCATGAGGGAGTATAGTATGTAATACAGGATATATTGTTTAATACTACAATAGAATGCCCTGCTTTAGTTGGCAGATACAGGGAGACCAGAGACTCCTAATTGACAGGATGCATGTAGGGAACTGAATGGTCCTCTGTAAACACACTGTGACATCTAAACAATGATAAACAATGAAGTAATCTAATATTTAATAGCACTGTTTGATCACCTGCATATCACAGGCATCATTATTAATCTATCTTCTATTTATTTAAAACCAGGTCTTTATGTATTAACACTACCACATCTGTTTAGAAGTATTAAAAAAAAGTTTATCTGCTCTTGCAGGATACAAATATATGCAGGACCAGGATTTTGGTGAACATTGTAGGTTAATGCACTACAAAAACTGTCCCTAAGTGTCCTTATAGTCTATTATTCAGCTACACATGGCATCAAAAAAAAAAACAAAACACTGCAGTTTTATCAATGCAGCCTTTTTTTAATTATTTTTTCTGACGGTATGGAACACAGGTGGGTTGTTTTCTTTGGGCCAAAGAAAGAGCCAAAACTTGTAAAATAGAAAATGTTATGCAGTGTACAGAAACTACTTTTGTACTATTTCTAACATATCAACAGTAGTTGTTAACACAGAATACAATGTTTGCAGTGAGAAAACTCTCCTGCAGCTGGCTATGGTATTTTCAGAGGACTGTCACTCACAGTGGCTACTCGGGGTGTATAATTGAAAAATAATCTTCAAGCATTCATTTATGATCTGTGACAGCGCTACCTCTTTATCTCCAAGCCAACTTTGCTTTCTCAGTACTTGAACTTGCCCTTTGCCTACTGTTAAAACATTTGTCAAGCCAAATTGTTAAAATGATAAATGAGGTCACAAGATCACCACTTGAAACCTAATACCTTTAGTTTTGACCTACACTCAAGGTCCATACCTGTGATGGAGATATCTGGGAATTTTGTGCTGAAAACATTGCATAGTTTAACTATCTGTCCCTGCAAGATGGAAAAAAAATGAAAGGAAAAAAAAAAGAATATACAGACTCTGGACTAGTGATTCTCAACCTTAAGACGATCTTCACCCTTATCTTAAAAATGACAACTTATGCACCTTTGGAAATGCTTAGTAATGGCAATCTATGAACAGATAATTATAGATAATTTCTGTCTTTTTTATTTTTTTATTTTTATTTTCCTCTCCATTCTTCTCATACTTGCCCTTTTCACTAAGGGCAGATGAATACATCTCCCTGTACTTCGTGTGTCTGTCTTCTGGAACATGTACAAAGTCCAATGAGTGTGCCAAGCAAAACTCTCGGTCTGGCGCTCTTATTGAACTTTGTGCATGTAAATCCTCAGCTCTGGACTCTCTGCATTAAGTGGTGTCCACTGTCCTGTTGTGCGAAGAGCAGCCTTATTAGAGCCACTGTGCCCTGTTGTAATCTGACTGACTCACAGAACGTTTGAATCCAGTGCCTCATTTTTGCATGTCCAGGAACATGTGACAGTGCACATCATTTCAGGGGAACACATATCTTTCCCCTGAGAACTTGTTAGATTTTGCAGCTTACAGGTGAGATTTCCCAGGAAGGCACTGGTGATGTGGCTTTTGCAGGATGCATATTTGAGGCCAGGGCTAAATCATCGGTGCCTCACTCTACCAGGAAGTGGAAAAACAGTAATTGCAAGCAAGGGCAAAAATTTTTTATTTAACTAATGAATGTAAGATGATTTCATATCAGCGTGCAGAGCTGCATGCTGATGTGATTTTTAGTGGAACAGGGTAAAGGTCCACTTTAAAGAGGAACAATGGAAGCTGTTACCCATAAAAAAGGCAAACAGAGGGTAAAGTACTACTTGTAGTATCCAATACTGAAGTGAAGAATGTATTATGGAGGGAGGGGGAGAAGGAATGAGAACACGGGGTTATATTTGTATATGTTTGTATATTCCTGTTTTTTGCACAGTAAGAGTGATGAACACAAGAATTAGAGGGAGGGGGGAGGGAGGGGTATGGTATACAATAGCAATAGCTATTATTCATTTTTTTATCAAAATAAAGCAAAGGGGGTATATTAGGGTTTTTTTTTAGACATCACAACATTATACACCTGAGCAGTACACAATAATAAGGATAGAGGGTATATATAAAGGAAATAGATGGGGAGAAATGGACTATGGGATTGTTTTATTTTTAATAACCACTAGAGGTGTATTTTAAATGGAGCTATAGACTTCCCCCTTCCACCAGAAGCCAATAAGTTGGAGAATGAATGAAAGAAAAGAGTGTGATAGGGGTGGCTGAAGTTGGGGAGTAGTGAAGGCAAGTGACGGCTGTTGGAAATGGAGTAGATGTTTTTAATAGAGTGTTTTAAATAATTATTGCTATATAAAATATAATCTGAAGTAAATAGTATTGGATGTATTTTGTATAAATGTATTTTTGTGAAATAATAAAAATAAAAACATATTAAACAAAAAGTAGTATCCAGTACTGCCTGTGGCCTCCCTGCAACTGATCTTTTGCTCATTAATGACTTTCTACTCCTTGATCTGCACTATGCCTCTGGGTAAAAGTGGCCATCTTGGTAGAGGCAGGGCTTTGTTTCCTTATGTCAGAGTATCCAGCAAGGAGAGCAGTAGGCAGCACTTTAGTGCCATACCCAAATCTAACTTCAAATCAAGTCAAAGGCTGCAGTCCCTTAGATCTCATGCTGCAGATATATAGCAATGAGGCTGCAGGCACTTGCAGGCCTTGGCAACCTTAGGTAAGAGAAAGTACACTGATATCTTTCAGGAGGAATGTGAGGCAACAGGTACATTTTTGCAAGGTACATTAAGTATTTCTAGATGTCCCCTATAGCATAGCACATCTACGTTTTTCAAATTCAGAGGCTTGCATTATTGGGTGTTAAGGTGCACTACATTAAGGCAGCACATTCATTTTGAATAAGCTGCCAGCACACAAAATATTAGACTTTTCTTAACACAGTGCACCATAAAGAAAGACAACTGCTAGTACTGTAATTACTATGCACAAACCTTCTTGTGCACCTGATCCTGCATGTTCTGCTGTCATCTTGACTGCACTCCAACTTAGAGCTCAGTTATACTTTCCACCAACGTACAATCTAATATAAGCAACTCAGAGACCATCAGTTGTAATTTTAATGGATTCTACAATAGAGAATGTAGTGGATCTCTGGGTCAGAGTGAAGTCAAGGCAGAAGTAAAATTAGTGCCTAGAATCAAAGTGTTCCCGGGGTGTACAGAAAATAATGTGTGGCGTAGTTAAGGCACCTTCTTTTCCCCTCTTAGACAGTTGACAAGCTGGTGACCCCATTGCAAAACCTCCCCTCACTTGGTGATAAATGTAAACTTTGGATTTCCCATCTGATCTGGTGGTAATGGTCGCCAGGACATAGGTGACCCTACCTAGTGGGGGACACAAACAACAATAAAAACTTAGAAAGGGATTTCCATTCTTCTGTATTTCCTATCTAAAACATGAAGTTTGGCTATAAATTTACACTTGACAATTTCAATTGAAGTTGGCCATCCACAATAGTATTTTGACTGGTCAGTTTGCCACTAATCATGTCATGTGGAGACCATTCTATTGGATGTAGCCCGATGGATTGTTTATAACAGGCTTATCCGTTACAAGCTTCTTGGTAAATTGTGTTGTATTAAAATCAAACCATATACATAACCTTTAAGTAGCAAATAATAACCAAGTACCTTGTAATGTGCAACATTTTGTTTTAGTTACCAAAAGTGTGTTCATGTGCATCCAGCATTCCTGCTGCTGCTTGCTTGTGCCTTTAGTGTTATATATTATTGTACCTATTGTATAACATATTATTTATACTGTATGTAATAGCTCAGCAGCTTTTAAATGAAAAGTTTTTGTCTTTGATTTACCCTCCTCATGGGACACTTTTTTCCTGATACATAACAATGTATTTGTGGCAATACGATGTAATAATTTAATGAGTTGTAATACGTTTATTAAGATATGATGTAATAACATCATGAGATGTTACATTCATATTCATTAGAATATTCTTTTCCATATGACCACTTCCTGCAGCATGGGATGGTGAGTGATTGTTTGTAGAACTCTTGACTACCAGTGTTGGTAAGACAGAATATCTTCCTATGCATGGCCAACATATGAATGGACCAAATATTGTATTTTCCACACAGCCCCAGGTTAGCATCACTACTATTTAGGGGACACAATGTAATGATATGACCCTATTTTGTTTTGCTTATAATTTAGTCAGGCAAACACAGGATGTTGGGTAGAAGCGCGAACCAAGTTACTCCTTTGGAGAATATTTATTAATAGATGGCGTATATTAATTGCCTAGGGCAAAGTGCAGTAATATGTAGTAACCTATAGAATTGGAGGTTGACATTGTTTATTCTTGGCTGCTGGACAGTGAAAAACTATTGCTATGTGTTGATCATCCTGACTGTCTAGAGATACGGTTTTGTTTCAGACATATGTAACACATCAGTTCTTTTACTGCCTTGTAAATGTTTATTCTAAAAATTAACTTAAAGTCATTTGCAAATTTATTTAACAACACATTTCAAAAAGAGAATGATATATCATAACCTATAGCAATATATCAAGTTTTAACAAACAACAGTTTAAAAGAGCATAAGAAAGGTGCTTTTTCATTGGTTGCTGTGAGTTGCTGCACTGTACTTTCTTCTCTAATACACTATTTTTTCCCATGTAATACATTGTTATATGTTTTTATGTACATAAGCACCATATGTGATTATTATGTGATAGTTGTCTTTTTCATCTTTCATAAAATGCTATGCAATCACCTATGTATCATCTGCTTTTGTTTCCACTGCTTGAAATATACATACTCAATGCCTTAGTAACACAGAATTCTTGCTAACTAAAAGACATAGGGTATAAAGGACATACATAGTATATATGAAAGAGGCCAGTAAACCTAAAATACCACTTTGTTTATAATAAGAAACTTTGTACCCAATAAAAACCTCTAGTAAGCCTCCTTTTAAGACACAGTGGTTCAGTGGTTCAGAATCCAAGGCAATAAACTGCACTTAATGTAACAACAATAACACATGTATTGTCATTGATGTAATGACAAGCTATTTTTTTTCTTTTTTCATATCAGCTAATTTAACATATTTACAAGTGATACTAATGTATGTTTTACATGATGGTATTGAATCATTTCAATTTATAGATCCTTTAATTAGGACTATCTTTACCCAACTTTAATGTACAATGACAACAATTCAGTTTCCTCTCTTTGCTAAAAGTGAACTTGGCCAATTATACCATATATCATAATATTAGGTATTTAATTACTTGCCCAAAAACAAAAGTACACTAAGCAAAAAAATGAAGCTTGCAAATATCCTGTTTTTAAAGTTCTGTATGTTTCCTGTAAGCTATAATATGTATTAAAATATCTTTCTCACATCTGCCAATTGCATTGCCCACAAACTGCAAAATCTTAGAGTCTAGGTGCAGAAATATCTGCCTACAATAATTTAGAAAATCAAATAGAATTTACACAGTCAATACATCCTATATATACTTAAAAACACATGCACTTTTTTACTTACACTGTACAGATGTCTCTACCTAGGAAACATATGAGTTGTTTTTTTTTTTTTCTAGCAAAGGAACCCTATACATATTTTATGAGAAGCTCTAGCCGGGGGCTCTGGGGAGACTTATCTTCTAAATCTCAGGAAAAGTTTTAGGAAATTGCTGTAGGGTTGAGAAATGTTAGCGCTTGGGGTTTTTTTTGTTTTGTTTTGTTTTAATTTTCTCTCACCTTTCATTGCTGGCTGCTCTGTCGGCCTTGTTAGCAGGTTTTTTCAAACTTGCACAGCAGAAAGGGAAACATTGGAAAAGTTCAGACTTGTCTGGCTATTCATCCATCTTCATTAATGGCCTTTCTTTGAGTGAGACACGTTCCTTCTCATCGCCTGCACACGCTTGTGCTTTGTGAGTTGCCCATCACAAGCACAACTGGCTATTTTTGCATCTCAAAGCCCTTTGCAATATTCTTTTTTTTTGCCCAGGCATCATCAAACAGATGCTGTCTCCTCTACTCACTCAACAGGCCGAGCAGTGACTGACTGTCATGCCACGGTGGACAGCTGTAACGGGCAAAGCTCATCTTCAGTCCTAGCCCCTTTCTCTTACTTAATCTGCCTGAAATCGAGGTCACACAATTAAGCTGCCTTTTAATCCTGTGTCGTTTCTGAATTCTTCTGAATTATTTCTCCTGCCAGTCCTGAGCAGATCAGGTGACAGCAGATGTGCATTCTGGTCATTGCACTCTTGTATGTGTGTGTGCGTCTCTCACAAGACTTCGATTTGAATGCTGGTGACAGGTTATGACAGTTAAGCTTGTTTACATTAAGCAAGGGGTCAAGCCTCATGACATCTCCAGAGATTATAATTAGTGATCTGACAATTGTATTAATTTGTATTTGTTATGCAGAAAGAATATAATTTTTTTCTTACAGTGACACTAAACTCAAGAGTTAAATCTTAAAAATGCATTCAAGTACCCGATTTACAAAAAATTTGTCTTATTTGTGTATCACTCAGCTGTAGATCTTCAAATCAAATCTCTGAATAGTGCTGACACTGTCCTTCCTTCTGGAGAGTGGCTACTTTTGTTCCCCATGGTCCCTGTGTGTGTTGTAAAGTAGCCACCTCTCCAAGCTCACTCCTGTTATTGACTACGATCTGACATTTAGTTTACTAATTTGTATTGAGATTGTAGTCCATCAATGGAGTGTGTTTGGAGTGGTGGCTACTTTAAAACACACACAGGGACCATGGGGAACAAAAGTAGCCACCCTTCAGAAGGAAGGACAGTGTCAGCACCAATTCAGAGATGATTTGAGGATCTAAAGCTGAGTGATTTACAAATAAGGTCCAGTACTGTTAATAGTTAAGGTACTTGCATTGCATTTTTTAGATTTAACTCCTGAGTTTAGTGTCCCTTTAAAGCTGAGCCCTAGCTAGGGTGAGGCAACTGAGGCACTCGCCTCGGGCTCAGGTGCGAGGGGGCGCAGCCAGGGCTCAGTGCAGCAGGGAGAAGAGGGGCAGCACAGCCTGCAGCTTCTCCTCCGGATCCCTGCTACTCTTCCCCACCTGTATGGACAGAGGCAGCGGGGATCAGAGGATAAATTAAACACTGAAGCCATAGGGGGCGTGTCACTTTAGAATGGCCAAGCAATGAGGAGAGAGAGGGCCTTTTGGCCAGGATCTTACAGCCGGCGGCTCTCACTCTCTCTCCTCACCGCTTGGCCATCCTGAAGAGACAGCTCTCTCTTTGCCCCCCCGCCGGCTTCAGCGCTTCACTTCTCCTCCGATCCCCGCTGCCTCTTCTCATACAGGCGGAGGAGAGCAGCAGGGAACCCAAGGAAAACCTGTGGGTGGCCGAGTGGCTCAGGATGGAGTGCAGAGGATCTGTAAATAGTACAGATATTCACTTATCCTATGTGTGCAGGAGAAACACTGGAGTGATCAGCTGATCACTCCAATGTTTGTAAATAACTGGGGACACATAGTACTATAAGTGCCCAGTTATGAATGCTGTACATCACTTCCTGTTCATTCATGAGTTTCTGAATGTGTAGTAGTACAGAGACTTCTCCCCATTCAGAAACTGGCTGATAGTAAACATTTTCTGAATGAATGGAATGTCTCTGTACTTACTGCATATAAAGAGATTGAGGACTCCTGTTTCTTTTTCTATTTTAAAAGGGAAATATCAGGGGTCTGTTTTTAAATGACTGATATTTCACAGAAGCCCCCCCCCCCCAACAGTGAAACAAAATAAAAATTAAAACAAATAAAAACAATTTTAAAAATACAAAATAAATACAAAAATAATAAAAAAATAATAAAAATAAATACAAAATATAATAAAAAAAATAAAAAAACATACTGGAGGCAGGGCGCATGACTTCTCATGATGCTGTGCATGCACGCCGTTGTGTGATGTCACATGCCTGTTGTGGGGGGACTTTTTTTGTTCTTGCCTCAGGCGAAAAGGAGCTAGCTACGTCTCTGCTTTAAAGTGTAACACAACTTTTAAGTAAGCATTCAGTGATAAATGCAATCCATTCCCTACTGCTTGAAAATTGATCTCTTTACATTTGACCCTTTTCTTCAATTACTGATAGATCTTGTCTAAAAATTCTAATTTTCTGTTGGGGATCTGGCTTCCTTTTGAAAGGAAAAAAAAAAACAGACTGGTTTTACCAAGAAATGTATTGGTCATAAATCATATGAATATCTACACCACTCCATTCCATTTTCTGTATTCTCACTGTTTGCCTCTTTATGGAAAACACTGCTTTCAGTTCAGATGCTTTATTGTCATTATTCCTGCAGGTTGCACAAAAACTAGATGGAGCTCCATACTTTGGCTAGGTATGGAGCTCCATCTAGTTTTCCAGGTTAGGTATGCATTTTCCCCCCACCATGGCTAGAGGGAGCACTTGGGAGATAGGAGAGGAATTTTGCTTTAGGTAAAGAATAACCCTCTCCTGTCTTCCTAGAGCTCCCTCTAGTGAAGCCCAGGAGCAGTTTGTGTTGCAGCGCAGCAGGGTATAATTTGCCAGTCAGGAGCCTGTGGTTGGTGGGGGGCACATACATCTCTTAATATAAAGTAGGCCTTTATAGTTGTTTGTGCAGCAAACATGCGCATTGACATTTAAAGATTCTGCTGGAAAATGCAGTTATCCTGTAAAGGAAGCCTTTACTGAGAGAAAAATGGGGCTGCAATTGCTGACCTCCTTCAAAAAATTATAGCGACCTGACAGTAAAAGAGGAGATATAAAAAAATGGCCAAAATAAAATAATAAAATTATTTAGAAAGGTATAGGTAAAGGGTAAAGAAATAAACGCTAAAAGTGAAGATTTCCTTTAACTCCATTTAGAAGGATGGTATTAGTGAGTCTCTCCAAGTAGTCAGTGACGGATAAATATAGCAGCCACTTGTATGAAAAGAACTCAAGAACTTACAGGGCCATGTATAAATATCCATGTAATATATAGTGCTGGATTTTGCTTTCTAAGTGCTGACTACATGGCGTGATATCAGTATCTGTCGCTCTCTCTCAGATGGCGGAGGGCTGGTTGGGGAAGGGTTAATCTTTCGATGCGAGTCACGCTTCTCCCCACAGCTGCCAGCCTATTCTATCCACTATTTGTAGTGTGTCTAAAATTAACGTGACAAATGCCCTCTGCTTGCTGGTTTGTGAAATACACATCAATAAAGATGTTCTCAGATAAACATTTTAAGTGATAAAGTTCACTTGCTGACGTTCTGCATTCCAGTGTATTCCCAGTGCAGAATTCCGAAATGTAAAATGTGTACAAGCCCCGTGGAGCGTTCATCCAGCCTACGTTTTTTCCTTACTGTACGGCAGTGGAACCCAACTAGTAGCATTGGAGACGGGTGCTGCTTATTGTAGATTTCCTGTCTGAACTTCTGATAATGGTGTATATGAAGCTAGGCAGAGGGTGTCCAATTTGTATAATTTAATAGGTTAAAATTAATTCTAGTAAGTCTGCATTCTGCTTTTTTCATTCTTAACATGGCTCCCCAAGGCATACTTGCATACTTTTCTACTTACTGGATGCCCTGCAATAGCATATTTACTGCCTCCAAATACATTTACTCTTATGGCCAGCTAAGAACAATAATGGCTCCTCATGTGCCCCTGCCCATGGACAAGTGAACTATGATGTCATTTTAAGCAAGGGCAAAGAATGTTTGGAAACGTATCATTACACTGGACAGGGCTGTCCCTATAATGAACTAGCCTGAGGTGGTTGCCTCAGATGGCACTCACTGGGTCACAGGAGCTCTTAGCGACCTGTGATGCTCTAGCCGACATCCTGCCCAGCTCACTGACGTCACTGGTTGCCAGGATCTGAGCGGTCCCGTCCAGCTCCTGGCAACCAGTGAAATCAGTGAGCTGGGTGGGATGTTGGACAAGGGTACCATGCATATCCCCTCCTGGTAACGTGCACCCCTGGTAAAGAGCACCATCATCACCCCCTGATCACCCACCACCGGCCTCAGGTGGCATAAAGTGTAGGGACACCCCTAAAACTGGACATTGTTTAACACCTAAAGGTTTTTATGGATAGGTAAGATAGGCCGTAGAGGGGTTATGGTAAACAATCACAAGGGACAGAGCAGTCTCCAGCAGCTGTCCATCTTCTAGCTTGGAAGTGGGAGAAGAGAAGAGAGAGAAAGGAGAAGCAGGAAGCAGGGAAGTGGCTTGTCTTGCTGTGCCTGTGTACACACACACACCTTACTAGCACACAAAAGGGTGGCTCCATTGGACTCTGCAAGGGAAATTAGCCACCCTAAAACAGGATATCATGACCAGTGCTCAGGGGACCAGCTGATTCTGCAGGAAACTAAGACTTTTAAACATAAAAAATAAGCATATATTGTAAGAGATTTAATCAGCTCTATTTGGGCAATTAACCCCTTTGCTGTCATATTATTGGAGGCTTTTAGCTTTGCCCAATCCATAGCAAACATGTTTTTTTCTATTTTTTGCTAAAGGGCTAACTTTAAAAAAAAATGGGGCTGTGCTTGGGGGGTGTAGAAATGATTATTATAATTATAATGTGTTATGTGCAGGGGGCAGCTATACAGTACATTATGACAATCTTACTTTGCAGCATGCCACCTTCTGCACATAATGCTAAGCTTCCAGACACTGAGGAGAGGAAGAGATGTGACTTGAGCAGTACAGAGCTACAGTCACATCAACTGCCCCTCCTCACTACTTGCCCATTCACAAAATGTCTTGTATTTTTTCAAAGAATACAAGGAATTCTATGACTGGAGGTGGAGAGATCCCCACCCCCTCCTTTCCCATTCCAATCACAGAATGCCATGTATTCTTTGAACCAGAAGTGAGGACAGAAACAGCAGTATAGTTGCCTTGCTAGTGTAGATGGGAGAAGATAAATCTAGTGTTGAGTCTTTATTGTTTTATGTGTCCCCACCGAAGAGATTTCAGCTTCCATGTGGCCACCCTTACAGATTGCTAAGGAACATCTGTAAGCTCAGCAATAGTAGAGTCCCCAAGTACAGCTGTTGCTGCAATGATGAAGTATAGTACTTCTCTATTGGCTAAACAAAAAACAAGACTCTGATTAGACACCGCACACTTAAAGAGTATATGTCTATGGGCTAGGGGAAGGAGCTCTGGGATTGAGTATTGTAATTGCCACATATGTCTACAGATTAACGGAAGGAGCTCTGGGATGGTGCATTGTAATTGGCACATATGTCTATGGGTTAGGGGAAGCAGCTCTGGGATGGTGCATTGTAATTGGCACATATGTCTATGGATTTCGGGAAGGAGCTCTTGAATGGTGCATTGTAATTGGCACATACAGTATGTCTATGGGTTAGGGGAAGGAGCTCTGGGATGGTGCATTATAATTGGCACATATGTCTATGGGTAGAGGGGAAGCTGATTTGGGATAGTGCATTATAATTGGATAATATGTCTTTGGGTTAGGGGAAGGAGCTCTGGGATGGGGCATGATAATTGGCACATATGTCTATAGGATAGGGGAAGGAGCTCTGGGCTGGTGCATTATAATTGGCACATACAGTATGTACTGCCAAAGGGTCTTAAAGAGGTTTGGTACCTCTATTGGGTGTAATTGCAAACAAAAACAATTATCTGCTTACCAGTGATTGACTTTCTTTGTACAGATCTGGTCTCGAGTGAACGGATTTGATTATCACTGATAATAAATAAATGAGAAATTTATAGGAACCTTATCAGGCATGTTTTTATTTAGTCCAACATTATGCTTACCTGTACCGGATAATGTCAATCGAAAAATGGGCTTGGACACTGACTAGATGATTACACCTTGCTCCTTCTAGCCAGCCTCTGAGTTACTCACTTTTCTGTAGTAGACTCTGAATGCAGCTCCTGCTCTACATATTCCCCGACTTTCCTTACTTTATGACTCTCTACATATCATTACTGTTGACAAGGCTGACAGGGAATGTTAGAAAAGGCCTTTTTAGAGAGAATTTGTTTAAAACGTCATTTATGACGGGTTACTGTCTCAATGTTCACATCTACTAAAGAAGGTAACCACCGGCAATGTAATGGCTTTACTTTCAATGTTCAGCTAAAGCAACACTTGAAATAGGAAAGCTCTTGAATACAAAACAATCCTTTCTCAGCATTTGTAATAATTCTTGCAACCAGTTTTACAGACATTCCCAATATAAGGTCATGCAAAGTTAAACCACATGTATATTTTGCATCCAGCAATAACAAAACACTTGCTTTCAGCATTATAAAGCGCACAATGAAAAAATATGAATCTCGGCTTAAATTTTAGTATGAAAGGCAATGATTTAAGGAGTGATGGTTTATCTGTTATGGCTCTGTAACATTTTG